TTGATAGAGCTGTTTACTTGAGGGAAGTTACAGGTTATGTGGCACAAGTTTGCAAAAGCATCACTGATAAATGAGAATGAATGCATTTCATACCAAGATTACTTCTGACCAATATTTGGCAGGGCCCAAAGTCTGCAAAGAATGGTGTAACTATAAAGCCATGTACATAACTATGATTTTAAACATTTTCTAATCAAGTTTTAAATCTACTACACCTTTGTCTGAAAACGTCATTATAATAAGACTTTACCTTATATAAGCCTTGTCTGCACCAGGAGCATTTGTCTGATATACAAATATGGATGTACTATAATGGCAGAACCCTCCTTGTGTGAGTGCACGCTTGCTATATCAGGAAAGCTGTGTGCTGGTGAAAGTAAGGGTTTCCCTGTTGAACTGCATCTATCCCAGGGGCTTCCACCAGCAGCAATGTTAATTAGGGATAGCAGGGTTGGAGTGTTGTTCCAAAGTTGGGATGTTGATCCAATAAAAGATATCACAACAAATGGTGAAGGGTTAAACTCAGGATTGCTTGTCCCAAGCAAAAGTGTGGCCTTGAGTTGAGTTAGCTCAACTGATGTAATTTAACTCATTAGATAACCCTACTTAAAATCAATGTAGACACATGCCTCCACTAGCTGTGCTGATGGAGAAACTGGTACAGAAAAAAATCCATAATGTATTTAGATATAGATATATATAAATTCCACACAACTCCCTATGTAGACACTGTTAGTGTGGAATATTCTAGACTTCCCTTCCACTCTCCTTGTAAAGAATTTAGCAGTAGTTTAACACCTTTAGATCAACTGGGCGATAAATGAGGAATTCACTTAAGTTAAACCAGCTTTACTGTGTTAATTCAATTGGGAGATAAAAAGCATTTTTCTTTCAGTCAGAATAAATCTGTAGTGAATTACATCAATCAACTACCTTTGTGAAGTTAAAGGCCCAATATTGCCAACATTTATACTCTTGATAAATGTTTCTAAGGGGAGGGTAGACTATAGGCAATACTACTGTTTACTTGAAGGAAGTTACACAAGTGCATTAATCTTTGTGGGATTACTATTTTTTAGTGTAGGGTTGAAGTGTTATTGTCTCTGTCATGGTCCAGGAAATGTAAGAGGCCAGGATTTTTAGTGATACATTTTATCAGACTACCTGCATAGTTAGGAAAGCTGTTGGCCAAGTTTTGGGTATCAAGTGCCCTTCCTCAACTCTAGGGAATTTTTTTAAGACCAAAGATTTCTTGAGATACACACAGATATATAAAGTATTTTTAAAAACTTGTACCTTTGAAATTCATAATTGTAAAATATATCATGTGAGAATAAAATAATCATAGGGATCTAATTAATTCCATTTTTGATGTATAAACACAAGCATTACCTGAATTTATAGAAATGATGTACTCCCATCCAGCAGGGAGTCGAACTGAAACAAAATCAACAGAATTACCTGATAGTATGTTTCCTACTTATATTTACATAGTTTTGCACAAGCCATTGTTCAATCTGCTTTTTTCTCAGAGATCTGATGAAGGGTACAGTGGAACCTGAAAACTTTTCTATGTCCCTTCCAACTATGTAGTTGGTCCAATAAAAGATACCACTCACAAAAATCCTTGCCTCACATGTTTCTTGCACTATCATGTAACCCCAACACTACCAGAAGAAATAGTGTCTCTCTCTCAGCTAAATTATCTTTTGGAAAGCAAAGTGAAGATCCGGATTAAATTAAAACCATCAATATGAGCAACACCTTTGTGTGTTAAATCACATTACCTTTTCCAGTATCCCACCCTTGGTAAAGCATTGCAACAGTTATAGGAACATTTTGCCTCCTAGTATAACAAATAGTTCTAGTCCAATTAACCCACTGAGCTGTTAATTTCATATTATAAAGTGATGCTATAGTTCATAGATACTCATAGCATCAGTCTGGAGATCTGTTAGCTATAATTTGTTATTCCTCAGTGTACGGTGCTTATCTTGTACTTTCTCCTGTGTTTGACCTATCCAGATTTAGATGTGCCAGGTAATTAGGTTATTTTTCTGCTTTGGGAGAGTAAATATAAGAGGCTGTTTAACTGTAATTCTGTTAATGCAAACTGGTTGGCATAAGTATCTAAGAGGCAAGGATTTTTGTGGGTGATTTATTTTATTTGACCAAGTGCAGGTCTAAAAAGAAATGCATTACATCCAAAAGCTTGTCTAAGTCTATCCCACCCATCCTGTTGATCCAATGACAGATACTGCTCACAAAAATCCTTGCCCCTCACATTATTGCCTGGACCATCAAGACTATAGCATCACCCCCACACAACCAAATGATGTAAATATATTATTTCAAAACCCAGTTACTGTCAGTGATACATATTTTCCGTGCGTTCATTATATGCTTTCTGTTTCTCCTGCCCTTAATTTTATAGCGCTTCTGTTTACTACCCTATTATTTCCTTTTCCTTCCAAGGAAGGGTTAAGAAAGCAGCTGTGAATTCTGGGAACTGTAGTTTGCTGCAAAGGGTCTTTAGAGGATGGTCTCATTCTTTAAAAGCTGGTTGCCGAAGAGTAAGTTTGTCTCTTTGCTCTTTATAAATGTAGATTATACAATATGTTGTTTGCAGACCTTAAAGTTTTGTAGCTAGGCGTTTGTCTGAAGCAATGTTTTGAGAGAAAGTATGCAAAAAGGAGAGAGGTTTGTTTGGTAACCTCAGAGATGGCCATGTGCTCTATTTTCCGTTAAAATGGCTTTTCTGTAATTGCAGGGCTAGTAAGTTGAATGCCAAACCTTGCTCGTGTTGTTTATGCAAGTTGTTCCTTTCAGGGGGGTTATTTGTACGAGTAGAATAAGCAAGTTTTAATAAATATCACTACAATCAACTGGGGTTGGTGTGATTCACTTTTTTTTTTTTTTAATGGGTACAGTGTTTAAATTTATTTCCTTCTGCATTTGTGTTTGCTTTAGTACTGAAAAAGGTGTTATGAAAATTGTTTTGTTTCATAACTTCAAAATTGTCTTGCTTCTGTTCAGATCTACCCCTCAGCAGTTTGAATGTAAATTTATTTTTTTTAACAAAACTTGACTTCTTCCATTATGTATGCACATTGGCTTACTGTTGTAGTGCTTTATAACAGCTACACTGTTTCATTTTACTTTAAAAAAAAGTACTAAAATATTTGCTTTAAAGTAAATGTAAAACTTTTAACTTGTCTCCTTTGAACTTTGACCCACTTTAATAATTCTCTCTCCTGTGTTTTGCAAGTTTGGGGATCTATCAAAATAAATACTTCCCTCTGAAATTCTTCAAGTTTAGATGGAATTCTTCAAGTTTAAATTATTAATACACTTGATATTTTTATGATGTTTTAAAAATGCGTGTTAATTTCTCTGTGTATGTATTAAAAGTATGTATCGAAAATAAGAAAACTGCTTCTTTCTTTCTTTCTTTTTACTTCGTGAGACCTTTTGCAGCCTTTACACAGGATTTTCTGCTGAGTACTTTTTAAGTTCTTCCTGAATATAATTAGACTTACCAGTGTTTAAGACCCTTTGGGATCAAAGCTTCCTTTAATTTTAATTATTGGAGCTTCAGTGAACCTCTAGTCAAAGTAAGAACGTAGACTACAGCCTAGGGTTGTATTCCCTCTGGCTGAGGGGAAAAGTATAGAGACGCAGTATAACTTTTATGATACACAGATTATTTTATTTCTAAATCTTCCAGTTGTCTGTTGCTGCCAAAATCCTCTTATCTCTTGTTTCTTCACTGAGAGGCGGCTTGATTCAGTGAGTGGCAATATGGGATTCTAGAGACTTTTGTCCTATTGCCTATCCTACTGACCCATTATCTCTTGGTGCCTCAGTCTTCCTATTTGTAAAAAGGTAGATAAAAAATATTTACTTTCTCTGTAAAGTTATCTGAAAACTCAGCAGCAGCCAGATCCAGATAAAGGACTTAAATTATTGAACCCCACCCAGTTCTTTCAAAGAATGATTGTAGATGCATACTCTCAGGGAGGGCTTTCAGCTTTTGCTTCTGAATTGCTGAGCATTTTCCCTATTGCCCTTACTCCAATTTATTCATGTCCTAGAGAGGTCTATGCTTAAAATGGATCTCTATGCTTAATATTTCCTCTTGGCTACATATGTGGGGTTCCCATTTCAGTATGTGGGGTGTTTGCCTTGCTAGCTTCCAACTCTGCATGAGAAGCTTAAGTTCATGCCTTCAGTCCTGGATTTCACCAGATGACTAAACTGAAGTGGTGCATCTCCTAACTTGTAGATGCCCAAATCCCTACTGAACCCATCCCTAGGGTATTACTGTGTATTGATTCTCGGTTGTGCTGCAGAGTCAGTTTAATCTTTGTGTCTTTACTTTCAAGATTTTCTAAACAAAGCCTCAGTCTAGAACTTCAAGGGCTCCCCAGTCTATAGCTGTATTTAGATACCTGAATAACTTACCCTTATTAGATACCTCACCTTCTCCAACAAGCGTTAAAGATCCAGCAAATTCAGAATGAAGCTCAATGGGTGTTGGCTGGTGCTCAATGTACTTGAAAACCTGACTCCTTTATTTCCTATTCAACTGCTTTTATATATAAGGTCTAAGTATTTGCAGGGCTGGGGCCTTGGCCTGTAAACATCTCTGGAAAGGACTTCTCTTTTACGAGGGACTGAAAGTTGTAGCATGCCTCTGCCTTTTTTCGTTTAAAAAATGGCTCAGGAGCAAAAATAAATAAATATTCCAGCTCTTCTACCAGCCTCTTATTTTTAAAACTGCTATGAACAAAACCATCTCAGCTTTCCAGCATTAAAAGGTGTATGTGGTGTTTTTGAGATCCTGGTAATTGTACTGCTGTCCTAAAATCCTTTGGCTTTTAGCCACACTCAAAGAATGTAGGTTCTCTCTTGATAAGCTCATTGTGTGCTAATCCTTCCTGGAAAAAAACCTCTACACACTGCATATGGCTATTGCACTTCTTAAGATAAAGGGTGGCTCCTGCTTTAATAACAAAAGTACCCAGAAAGCTGATTTTCAGGGAATTTCCCTTTTGAAAAGGGAATTCTAGGCTCCTATAAAGCCAGCTTAATGGCCCTCTCCACCACCTTGTATTTTTCCCACCACTATAATTCTTCCAGCATTTGGGTATCACCAGAAGTAAGGACACCAAGGCCATATCCCACTTCCATCTAGCACTCCAGAGAGCATGAGGAAAGATCATATGTATTTGCTCTACTACATATGCATTTCCCCTGCACACAGGGGATCCTCAGAAGGCTGTTTCCTTAACGATCAGGTTTACAAGTCTTTTGTACCAGCCTGGAGGGGCACTAGTAAGTCCAAAAGTCTGAGCTGAAGCTTTTATAGACTCAGATGTTACAGTAATCTGTAATAATTACTCCTGCCACAGTTATGAATATTTGGAAATCTACTCCCCAAACCTCATGCTTCACAAGTAAAACTTCTCATGTCAAGCGGATGTCATCTGACCTCCGAACTGTTCCCTGCCCAGGGCAGGGTGTTGGACTTGATGATCTGTTGAGGTCCTTTCTGACCCTAGCATCTATGAATCTATGAAACCATTAGACAAAAGCATGCGGCACAATTTATGAACCATACAAACATTGTCAAATTTGTGAAGCTGAGCATGATTCAGGAAATTAACAACCAATTTGTTGCTTACATGTTAATGCTAAATTATTTCCACTATATTTTAGCATAGAGCACATGTATTTTTAGGTACTCATGACACTACAAGTTTTGTGCTGCCTGTTGTATTTCTGAATTTTTTTTTAGGCTGAAAGAAGCATTGGAATAGGGTGCTCTTAGGGAAGATGAGATGACTCCTTGAGTAAGTTCCCAGTGTGGGTGCAATACTTTGCATGGGAGTGCTGTCATTAGATCCCCGGGTGCTGCCTCTCATTTGCCTTTAAGTATCAGATTTCGTGGAGGATACAGCTTTTCTCCATTCTTCTGTGATGCTTGTTGTGTGGGAGATCGAAGAACCTCCTTTTTAAAGTGATTGTAAGTAAAGATGGTCTAACAGGGCCCAGTGATTGGGGGTTTTTAACTGAAAAAAAATAGCATCAATTAGAATCTGCTTATTTTGTCTTAGAAAAGATAGGGAGTCTGTGCTTTAAACTCTTTGCTGTTCTGGACATTCATAGCTTAGACAGCTACTACCCTCTTTCTGGTTTAAGAAACTGAATGTTCCTGTTTATTGGCCAGTTGTGTGGTGTCGTCAGTGTGGTGTTGGGGTAGGGACAGGGTGCATCAATTTAACTGGAAGCTGCCTCTCTCCTTTCCTTTTGTGTTTGACTACTGAGTATCCCTCTCTCAGATCAGAACCACTTAGACTAGAGTAAGTATATTTTCTAGAGTAATCTGAGACTTTACATTCAATTCTAATGTACTAGCCTTAAAAAAAAAAAAATCTTTAAAGCATACATTTCAATTTCTGTAGCTGGTTTTGAAACCTTGATCTGAACAGTCTAATGATTAGGTCTGACTTTCTGTGGATGGGGGAAAAAGAACATGTTTTTTGAATATGACTTGCTTAGTTGTAATAAACAACAGTCTACTCTATATATATATATATATTTTTTTTTTAATTAATAAACTTCCGTTATGGTTTACTGGCATTCTCACTGTATTTCTTCATTATGGCCAGTTGCTTAATGCTTTCTTCTTTTGCTTGGCTTAATTGACATATTAAACGTGTGTGCCATAATTGATTTTTTATTTATTTATTTTTGTCATTCCACCATAGGTGACATGTGTGAAGCTTTTACATGCAGAATTAATTTTTTCATTAAATTGAGCATAATGGATTTTATTTATACATATGTAACTTTGCAATATAGTGCATATTTAAAAAAAAGATGTAAATTTGCACTGCCTGTATTTTGCTAGTTTTGTAAAGAAGCCTACTAACTTAGATAAGCTGAGAATAAGTTTAAAAATAAATGTATTTAGGTATGGGTAACTATGTAATACTTAGCTCTCTGCAAGTATTATTTTTCTCCCATTTGTGATTTGTTCATATTTTTATTCTTTTTTCCCACCTAGTTCAGCTAATTTTGGTAACTGTTCAGTCTCTTAATGAGTCATCTTTGGCTCAAATTTTTTTTTACGGTTTTAGCATATAAAGTTGAGATTAAAAACATGCCATATTTACTTGAATCCAAAATGACTTTACATGTAAGACTATGCTCCAATAATTAGTTTCTACACATGGAAAACTTATACATATTATAATTTTCCATGTATAGAATCTGATTATTGGAGGGTTGTCTTGAATTTATTTCCCCCACTGCTATAGCAGGGAAAGCAGAGGCAAGGAGATAGCCGTTGCAGCTCCAGCTCCAGAACACTGGAATTGCCACTGCTGCTGTGTGATCAGGTTGGGGTGAGAGCTACCATGCACTCTGTCTCTCTGCTGGAATGGAGCCAGAGCCTCTTTACAGTACGGATGACCAGAATCTGGAATAGATTTCCCAAGGAGGTGATACAGTCCCCAGTCTTGGAAGTCTTCAAGAGGAGACTGGACAGGCTGGGGTCATTTGATCTCAGCAGTATTCCTGCCCAGAGCAGGGGGGTTGAACTCAATCATCTTTTGAGGTCCCTTCCAGCTCTTGATTTCTATGATTCTATAACTGACAGTAAAGGTAGGGGGGCAGTCAAAGGGAGGGGCAGTGGCTTCAACCCTGAGCCGAAGTTGGAGACACAGCAACTGTCTGCCCCCTCCACCCCACCTTGTACTCAAATCCAGGATGAGGGTTTTTTTTCCACATGTTGAATGAGGGGGACACCTCACCTTGGATTCAAGTAAGTATAGTAATAGAATGGTATGGTTGTAAGGAACCTTGAGAATAATTAGTCGCACCCTTTTTACAAGTACCGGGTGCACTATACCTGAAATATCCTGTAGAGGCTTTTTGCAAACCTCCAGAGAGGGAGCTTCTATAACTTTCCTTCTTCTGAAAATTGTAGTCTTTCTGCCAACAAATTTCTTGTTCTTTAATTAAAAAAGCTAGGATTGCTCTGTTTGCATTTCCATCTTTACCAAATCAAACAGAGAGAGAGTTAGCCATGTTAACTCTGAAGACAGGGTAGAGCAGTGGTCTGTGACTGCAGGTGCCATGGCGCCCCCCGAGATTTATTCAGGTGCCTGTGCGCATTTTCACGATCAGTAAAAATCATTATTCCAAAAAAAATGCCGTCATATTGGCACCTGCTGCTTTTTCATTTAAATTCAGATGTGCCCTTGGGCATATAAACGTTAGGAACCCCTGGGGTAGAGGTACATTTTATAAACTAACTGATTCGGGGATGCATAACTCTCATAAGTAAAAACTCACTTCATCAGATACTCACCACAATGTAACATGATTCCTTTAGAGCAGGGATTTTCAATCTTTTTTAATAAGTGTACCCCTGGTGGGTGGAGAGAGGGGGTGGCAGCAGCTGCATGCAGAGCAGCAGCAGCACAGTGGTGGGCAGGAGGGGATGCTGCTGCATGTGAGCTCCTCCCCCCCATGGCCAGGTGGCACCTATGCAGCCCACAGGGGTGCTGCTGCCCTCAGGCTCCCCACCCCCGCCCGGCCCTGCTCCTGAGAGGCAGCAGCACATGGTGGTAGGTGGCAACGCTCTGTCCCCACCTGCCCGTGCGTACCCCCTAGGGCCTTTCCAAGCACCCCTGGGGGGATGCGTACCCCAGTTGAAAACCCCTGCTTTAGAGAGTGAGCCATTTCCTACACAGTGAATGTTCCCACATATGAGAGGTTTCCAGTGTCTTGTCGGTGAGATGAGCCGGCCTGTCCCTTTATAGAGCAGAGCTGTTACTGAGGGCAGAAGATGGAGTCTGGGTCAGGCTTTTAGCAAACAGAATTTCTCAGAGATTTTGGCTTGTGTGGGGGTGAGCCACGTGAACCGTCTGGTTGATTGTCTGAAAACCTGTTGTCCAGGTGTAGCTATGTGAGGTCACTTTTAATTTTGAACAAAAATATGTTTCTGCAGAAATAAGTTCACTAATAATTCTTTCTTACCATTCAATAGAAGTACAAGCATGTTCAAATTAAATAGCATGCTAAATGTTTTTATCAGTGCTCTTCTTTGGTAGGAATGGCGCACATTACCAAAGCAGGTCAATGGCTAGCTGCTTCACAGAAGAAATGCAAGGAAGCAGACAAGGGTTAAATGTTATATTTGCTAAGATTACAACACAGTGACTGTTTGTTCAAATTGTAAAATTCTTATCTAGTCTGTTTTGCTTCTCTTAATGAATGTGAGATGGTTTGTACAGGAAAGGCACAAGACCTCCTATTGACCACGTGCAATTCTTTTAATTTAATAAAATTGATTATGGTTTCTTGCCTCTAGAAATGCCTTACCTCCCTACTCCCCTCTTCCCCCCCCCTCCAAATTAACATGCTTGGACTAAAAGAATTTTTAATACTTGTATAAAATGCTGATTTACGTGCATTATGGTTTAAAGCATTAACTTGCACTCTTTCTTGACAAGTACATTTTACATACAGGCTCAGCACCACCAGTTTGGAGCTATTGATGTTCTGCCTAAATGAGTTCTGCCTCATCATATATGGCTTCTACAAATGTAAACTGTTACCCTGGACTGCTGCACATATTTTAAATTATTCTGTAGCTTGGAAATTTAACCTTTGCTTTTCAAGACAGTGCAAAACGGAGAATATCTGCTTATTTCTATGAATTGCTTTATTTTTAGATTAAGTTTTCTAAAATATCACAAACATGGTGAACAACTATTTTTTTATGATATTATTGTAACTAAGTTTTTTTTTCTTCTTATTGTTGCAAAACCTTAGTTTTACCTTGCAAGATACTGAGTGACCTTAACTCCCAGTAATTGCATGTAGATTATTATTCTTTCAATGAGTCACATCCTAAATCTGCTTGAAACCACGTGGAGTGTTTCCACTGATTTTTCAGGCAAATTGAATCAGACCTAGGAGCAGAGGTCAAGCAGCAACTTGCTTCAGATGGCCCTTTATTTTTAGCAGGGTTTTTTTGTGCTCCATATGTTCACCTATGAAGTTCTCTTTGAAATCTGACTGCTTCCTCTTGGAGTAAGGAAGGTCTGGAAGACCATTATCCTGTTTCAAAACTCTTACCGTTTCATTTTCATAAGGTATGAGGAAGACGTTCTGGCTTAAGAGAAGTTGTGCTGTACTAATTAACTTAGCACTGACATGAAACGCTCTGAAGAGACTTTGTCCCCAACATTCTCAGACTCTTTTGAAATTTAATTAAGCTCACAAGTTACATCCTGGTAACTAGTGAACATTTTTTATACGTATATCATGAAGCCACTGCATAATTTAGAACATTTGGCTGTGTGACAACGAGAAATGGTATAACAGATCATCTGAAGGTTTGTGCTGATGTGCTTAGTAGAGCTCTCTGAAGCTTACATGATATCTGTGCTGCACCTTTCTGAGCCAGTGCTCCCCATAGTGTGTTTTCATAGTACCATTTGTATGTACAAAATGGTAGGAAAACAATTACTTGAAATAGGCAAAGTGACATCTGCAACTATGATCAGTTCCTCTGTTGCTCTGTGGGGCCAAGCTGTTGAATGGTGAATGCCGGCAATAAGTTGTTGCTTTTCTGATGTTAGTATCATAATTGGTTGTTTTGTATATATTCTGTTTTAAACAGACTGATGGCTGATCGAGTGCTTGTGATTGGCAGTGGAGGCAGGGAGCATGCTCTGGCCTGGAAGTTAACACAGTCTCCACATGTAAAACAAGTGCTTGTTACTCCAGGAAATGCAGGAACAGCTGGAGATGGAAAAATTTCCAATTCAGGTGAAAAAAAAATACTAAGAGAATTTGAAATATATATTGGACCATGTAGCACATACACATTAAATCCTAAATGATGGTTTCAGATTCTTTTTTGTCTGTGCTATAGGAATTATGTTTAAGACCATAATTCCTTATAAAGCTAATAGACATAGCTGGATGTGGTTAAAAATGATCTGAAAGTGAAAGTTATAGTAAGGCTTTGTATCTTATATAAACATTAGTTTCCTCCTCCACAGCTGAAGAAGAAACTGATATTTAATATCAGCTGTGTTGGCTAATGCTTTAGGACTGAGGAGGCAAGACACCATCCACCTGTACAGTATATTAATTTCTGAACACTGCTACCTCTGCTGTAAGTGTTGGACTTGGGCTAAAGTAGTGACTTAAGCCTCCTGCTCCTCTGCCCAGGTGCGTAGCAAAGATCAGGCCCCAAAAGACTATCAGAGGACCATTGAGATATTAAGATATATAATTGTACCTAAGGCAGTTAACAAGCCTTTTGATAAGATTTCTTATCCGTGCTCTACACTTGAGACAGAAAGATTAAGAACAACATCCTGTGATTTTTCCAAGGTCTTTTCCAGCCTTATAATGTATGAAGTCAAGTTCTCCAGTAATTCTGGGCCCCCTTTCAAGGGTTCTAACATTTATAGCTCCTGCTGGCTTTAGCTGGAGTTGTTTGGGCTCACTGATTTTGAAAAATAGGCCCGAGATATTTGAAGCTGAGCATCCTTTGAGCCTGCTTCTGAAATTGTTATTCTTCCCAAGTTGCCCAGTGGCACACAATGAATCAGTAGGAAAACTGGGATAGTTACTTAGTAACCCTGAGTCACAGTCGCTTTTAGTCCATTAGACTACACTGCCTTCAAAAATCTCTTTAACAATGTTTCACGTATTACAGTGTTATGTATTAAAAATTATAAAAACATGCAAAATTAAGATAATGTAGTATATGTGTAGACATACATTATGTACATATGCTTGCTATGTTTATATTTTAATGCAACTAAAATCTACTTTTGTCTTATGCACCATGGAGGAGACATGATTCCTGGCAGGATTTTGTCTTTGTACAGTATATGGCAAATAAATTCTGTTTACTTACACCCCAAGAACCCTAAAGTGGATTTTATTGGAACCTTTATAGTTTCATAAGTAATAGATTTGTTCTGTTTGGCTGTTTTTTGAGAGTGTCGAGGAAAGGAAGAGTATTCACATGAAAATCATATGATCTCTTTATATCGACAGTGTCAAATGAAAATCTTTGTCCCTGTGTTGAAATTGAGTTAAAGCCAGATTGCATGAGAAGCTAATTATTAAACGGTGTATTTATTTCAAAGAATATTTTTTTCTTTTTTAAATTCTACAATTTTATGTGACTTCAATAAAATGTATAAAGGAAGGTATTGCATCTCCATATCTGGAATAAAAGTCACAATCCAGCAAAGCACTCGAGCATAGGCAGACTTTTAAATGTATGAATAGGCACCTTGAAGTCAGATGGACAATTATTCTTTTTCTGCACTGAAGCTTCGTTGAATCTGCTTTGGGTATGCCCCAAATAATTTGTCATTTGGCATATGCTTTATTACTTCAGAATTTAGAGTGTATGGGGCATATTCACTATTCAGATGGTGTAAATGGATTAGAAACCGGCAACTTCTTGTTAGGGATTCCCCACAGTTAGCGAGGAATGAGCAGAGCCAGCTCCTATGACCATCTCCCCAAGATAAATTTGCTTGGGGCCACTGAATGGCCAGAGGCTTCAGTAGAGGACATACCCACTCCCTGTGTGGGACTCCATGTTTGGAGGGATTTTAAGATTTTGTTCTACCTGTAGACCAGTGGTAGATCTTGGAGCCTCTTGTGGTAGATCTCAGAGCCTCTTGGAGTCAATCCAAGGCTGGGGTGGGGACTGAGTACCCATGTGCATGCATGTGCATGCCCCAGCCCAGCAGATGAGTTCATGGTGGCAGAAAGGGGAGGGGGCTAGATCGAGGCCCCCGTGGTGAGGGACAGTGCTGCAGAGGCAGGAGCAGTGGTAAATTGAGTGGGGCCCCAGCTGGGTGGGACTTACCTGCTAGGGAGGCATGCCCCCAATTCATTTTTTCTCCCTCTGCCTCAATCTGCCCCCACCCCTTCCTTCCCCACAGACTTACCTGCGGGGGGTGGGGGATGGCAGCAGCGGCACATGGTAGATCTTGGGTTGCTTTTAAATGCCAAAGGTGATCTCCTACTTTAAAAGGTTGGAGACCACTGCTGTAGACAAACCTATTTAGACCAATGTTCGATAGAAGTAGAGATGCCATGGAAGAGAGGGAGAAACGGATTAATTGTGTTGCGTTCCAACTAACAGTAATGCCATCATGGATATTTGCAGGGTAGCAACACTGCATCCATCAAAACAAACAAAAACAGGAATTTAAAGCAAAGTATCCCAGAAAGGAAGGGATCTACACTTCGCTCCCTGTTTGTCAAGTAAGGACAGTAGCTTCACGCTCCGCTGTCACTCCCCTTTCAAATGACCAATCCGTCTCCGATTCAGTTCAGAACATTTTTTTTGACTGAGTTTGAAAGTTCATGTGACTCGGTCAACCTTTAGACCTTGGATTTATTTATTGTTGATAAAAGTCATGGAATTACATTGCCTTTGTTTAAAGAGCATGTCCTACAGCTTGATAATTTGTCTTTCCTGGAGGCTTTCTTTTTTAATTCCTTTTTTTTTTTCCACATTGTCCATTAGATTTCTCCTTGTACAAACCCCTAAACGCCCCAAGTGCAATGGGAGAGATACTGATGTGCTTAACCACACTGAGTGGTACTCATCCTATTAATGAGTTCTTCCTAATTTAAGGAAACATATCAGGATCTAACTTGATGTAAGATTTACACATGTTGGCATCTTGCCATTCCAGATTAACAATTGAGCTGTTGCATAGTTTCATAGTAGTTAGGTCAGGAGGGACCTGATCAAATCATCTAGCCTGCCCCCCTGCCACAGGCAGGAACGAATGCTGGGTTCACAAGACCCCAGACAGGTGATCATCTAACCTCTTTTTGAATTTGCCCAAGGTAGGGGCGAGGACCACTTCCCTGGGAAGTTGGTTCCAGATTCTGGCCACCCTAACTGTAAAATATTGCCTTCTGATCTCTAACCTAAACCTATTCTCCATCAGCTTATTACCATTGTTCCTCATCACCCTGGGTGGTGCTGGGGAGAATAGGGCTCTTCCTATTTGCTGATGATCTCCCCTGATAAGTTTGTAGGCAGCCACCAGGTCCTCCCTCACCCTCCTCTTGCCAAGGCTGAATAGGTTCAGGACCCTCAGTCTCTCCTCATAGGGCCTGTCCTGCTGCCCTCTCACCAAATGGGTGGCCCTCCTCTGAACTCTCTCCAGGCTGGCCACATCCTTTTTGAAGTGCGGTGCCCAGTACTGGACACGGTATTCCAATTGCAGCCTGACCAATGTCGCGTAGAGGGGGAGTATCACCTCTCTGGACTGGCTTGAGATGCATCTTTGGATGCATGACAAGGTGTGGCTGGCCTTTCTGGCTGTGGTCTGGCATTGGCGGGTTATGTTCATCTTGGAGTCAATAATGACTCCAAGATCCCTTTCTGCCTCTGTGCTTTCAAGAGGGGAACTCCCCAGCCTGTATGTATGCTGTGGATTCCTTCTCCCAAGGTACAGCACCCTGCATTTGTCTACGTTGAACCCATCCTATTCTCGTCTGCTCACTTTTGTAGTGTGTCTAAATCTAGTTGCAGCCTCTCTCTCCCTTCAAGTGTGTCCACCTCGCCCCATATCTTAGTGTCATCAGCAGACTTGGACAATGTGCTTTCAGCCCCCTCGTCCAAGTCACTGATGAAGATTACAGTGCAGGCCCGAGGACTGAGCCCTGGGGGACTCCACTGCTCACATCTCGCCAGGTTGAGTACGACCCATTCACCACTACTCTCTGGGTGCGCCCCATCAGCCAATTTTTTACCCATCCAACTGTGTAGGCATCAATGCCACAGTCACTTAATTTATTGATGAGAATGGGGTGAGAGACAGTGTCAAAGGCCATCTTAAAGTCTAGAAAGACTATGTCCACGGCCACACCATCATCCAAGAATTTAGTTACTTGGTCATAAAAGACAATCAGGTTGGTCAGGCAGGACCAATTTTCCTGTTGTTTAAGTATATTAAACTAAAAAAATCCTCTGTCTTTCTATTATCTGATAATTACTGTTGCTTAAAACCTAATTTAACTACAGATATGTCCCCTTTTGTATCATTTTACAGTAATTTCAATTGATGACCATGTTGCCCTTGCCCAGTTCTGCAGAGACCATGAGATCAGACTTGTGGTGGTTGGCCCAGAGGTTCCCCTTGCTGCTGGTAAATTTCAAATAAAGTATTAATTTTATGAACACTTATTAATGTATAATTCATTTATGGAATATTTCTTTTTAATTAATTGTTCCCAACATGGTGGAGAAATGGATTACTGCAATTTCACTGTTGACAGTAGTTATTTAGTTACAGGCTTTCTGTGAGAGATCATTATCTAAGTACCTTACAAACTTTTATGGATTTTTTTCTCAAAATATTGTGGGATTTATGGTGGGGCTGTCATAAAGTATTAACATTCCCATTTTCAGGTGGTGTTCTGAGCTAAAGGGTGAATCAAGGCATGAGTTTTAGAGGTGCTGTAACGTCTGTAGAAGTCCATGGGATTTGTTGGCTTGGTCAGCATCTGTGCAAATCAGACTTCAAATAACTTGTTCTAAGTCATACAGACAGTCAGGAAACTTGCACTGAATAAAAGTTGGGATCTTTCCTTCCTTTTTGCAAAACTGATTTCATTCATATCTTAGAGGGCATGTCTACATGAGGCGCTTAATACTTAGTAGCTTAATAACACTGTGCAATAGCATGCCAGGCAAAAACCATGCCAGTATGCTACTGCATGGTAGTATGAGTGCTACTGTGCAGTTAGTGTCACTAAAAAACTGTGCACCGGCACTACTGCCCAGTAACTGTAGTTACTATGCATTTAGTTAGTACTTCATTAAGCAAGTAGTTACTGTGCGTTTACCTTAGTACTTGCTTAATGAACGTGTAGACATGCCCAGTAAGAAGTATTTCTAGGCTGCCTAAAAATTAGATTTGATATTCTTCCAATTGGAAGTCAATAGCAAATCTCCTAATGTCTTCACTGAGTGGAGATAATAACAATTTTCCCTATTAAATTCAAGGTCATGTGATGAGATAAATGTTTCTGAAGTTTCTTATGTGGGTAACATAAGATTTGTCATGTCCTTAACTATTTGTGAAACCCAGGCACTTAAAATTATGCATCTCAATTGTTGCTAACTTTTTTAATTGAACTTTAGTTAGTCTGGGGTTTTTTTAACGGTGGTCTGGGAGTCCATACCTTAAGGTTCTTCTAAGTCTAAAGGTTTGATCCTCTCACATGCTCAGAAACTTCCAACTTGTATAGAAACAACCCTTTTGGGAGAGGGCAGTAGTAAAGGAAAAAAGGAATTTAATCTCTTGAAGTGTTGCACCATGTGACTGTGGTTCTTAGATTCAGACAACTTGTTCTCAAGACAGATTCTGAAGTCCAAATTGCCACCTGACAATTACAGCTAACAGAGCTGCTGAGGTCCATCTGGTCAATGCCCACAGTTCCCAAGATGCATCAGACAGACTGTACAACATTTGTGGCCAACACATAAGTCAAAAGCAGAGCAATTTCATAATGTTTTTGTACTGTATTCCTGTAATGTTTTTAAAACCACCTAAACAGACCAAATAACTTATATGTGCTTTTGATAGGAATTGTTGATGACTTGACAGCAGCAGGAGTAAGATGCTTTGGTCCAACAGCAAAGGCAGCTCAGCTAGAGTCCAGTAAAAGCTTTTCCAAAGCTTTTCTGGATCGGCATGGGATTCCAACTGCACAATGGAAAGCCTTCACCAGTCCTAAAGAAGCATGCAGCTTTATTACCAAGTAAAATACCTTTCACAGTTAGAAGACTTTTCGTATTACAATATTGTGCGTATAGTATGCTTGCTACTGAGAATTGGCAACCTAATTGTCATTCATTTATCAGTAATGGCACAATGTCCAGATATTAAAGAGGTGCTCTAAAATAACTCTGCAAAAATACCATCAATAAGAGTTTTATGTTTACTGCTCCTCAGTTAAGTCAACTGATCTCAGTTTACAAAGAAAAAGATGTTTTTTCTAATTGCCAACCATGGAGTGGTCATATTAGATTCTTTCCAGTTCATGTCTTATAGCCAGTAATGCAAATTCTGCACCCAAAGTTACTTAACAATTCTGTTGATGATCAGCTTGTTCATCCTACAGCAGTAATGCTACTACTATGTAAACAGCAGTAAAATGTTCTTCCCCCTGAAAAGTAATGAGCTACCATCATGCAGAAAAAATCATGCATTGGACTAAGGTAATGGGAGAAGGGATTCAATTTTGTGTACTTTATTCAAATAATGTTTAATATTAAATTGTGGCTGTGATAATAAGTATTTGACCTTTGATTCTCCATCTTCAAAATCCATACAAAGGGTAGAAGTTGGCATTGAAATAGTATCATGCTGACAGTTTATAATGAACATTTTTTTTCCAGTGCAGACTTTCCTGCCCTGGTTGTAAAAGCTAGTGGCCTGGCTGCTGGCAAAGGGGTAATTGTAGCTTCTAACAAAGAGGAGGCTTGCAAAGCTGTACATGAAATCATGCAGGTGAGTTGCAAAGCTGTATAAAGACTTCTAATTTTTTTGTGCCAAATGAATGTATTTCTTCCTATACTTGGCAAAACTTCTACAGTGTTCTTTTTTTTTTTGCAGTACTCATTAGGCTAGCATCAACCATATTCCTTTTAAAAATGTGCATGCTATTTGAGTGTCTGTGAATGTGTATAATATGCATTCCTCCAGGAAATTCTTTCTAGTTACAATTTGTACAGGCTTGAATAATATCCTGATCCTGTGCTTACTTGCTTCCTTCTGGATTTACTTTTTCTCCGTACCTGTGATTCAAAATCCAGTAAGACTAGAGTTGCAATTTCTGTAATTGTTTTATTCAAGGGCATGCTGAGAAAACAGACCAGAGTCACTAAGATATCTTTGCTTCCTTTTAAGGAACCAGGAAAAGGGACATGTCTCCCCCTAAGCAGTCATGGATGTAGAGTTAGGCCCTCAAATGGTGTCAATAAGCAAAGCTCAATCAAATTCAGCAGAGTTTTACAAATTTACACTATCTAATTCTCCAAACAAAGTTCTATTCAGTGAAGTCTGAGACCCATTAATGTGTCTTGGCAATGCACTATTATGTTTGTACTGCTGCATAAATACATGTCTGTATGGAAACATTGAAAGGGAATACTGCAGTGTTCTATATAGATGCCTTTTCTGACAGTTGGCTTTCTCCTCTGAAAGGCTGAAAATTGTTGATCTAGTCTGAAGTAGTACTGGTTCAGAACTTCAAAAGAAATGTAAAGCATGGTTAATAAATAACTTCACATGTCTGTTGATTTTTTTTTTTTTTTTTTGTGCATTTTATAAACACTAATGAAAATATCTGTATTAACGGAAAGCTACTCAAAATTGAGGAAAGGAGCAAACTCTTTGCCATTGCCACGGTCTGATGTAGAGAGGATGAACACAGATTTTAAATCATTTTGTGTTTACTGGATTGGGAGGACTACAGGTGTCTGAATGTTATGTTAAAATTACTAAACAAAACATAGGAGAACCAAAGATACAATTTTTGCTTTGTTTTTGCAGGATAAGATATTTGAAGCTGCTGGGGAAACTGTTGTTATTGAAGAACTTCTTGAAGGAGAAGAAGTTTCGGTAAGTATATGCCCGATCCTTTTAAGAGTGTGGTTACAATTTACTGAAGCAACACTTAGGGAACTATAAGCATCTATACTTGTGCTCCACGGTGGAGGGGAGGGCACTGTTGTGCCTTCAGTGTCACACGTATTCAGCATCCCATGCTTCGACATAGTGGCATTGAACTAAAAATCATTCAATGAGCTTTAGTTAAAGTGCCCTCGCCATCATTTTGAAGCATGGGGCTACTGAATACATGTGATGCAGAAGCTGCTGGAGTGTGATAATTAGCACACGCCTGCAGTCTTGCAGCAGACTTAATTAATCTATTTAGCACACAGATAGAGCAGATCTCCATCATGTATAGATGCTCTTAGGTACCAATTTTCTCAGGTGATGCTGCACAGGTAGTCAGCAGTAAGGGCTAACGTGGATAAAAGTACAGTTTTAAAAATTGAAAACAAATCAGATTTTACTATCAAATAAGCTTATAACAATAAACTAATTTAAATTTGAAATTATAACAGTCTACATCTCTGAATCTCAATTGGTGTGGCTTTAGAGCAGCTAGCCCTTAAAACTGAGAAATGTTACATTTTCTCATAATTGATGTAAATGAAAATAAAGGTTGAGAATCTGGAAAGATGGCATGGCGATTTGATGCACTACATCACAGAATATATGGGAATTGTCTTGGGTTTCTTGTTCTGAGAACTGAAGTGAACTTATGTTAGATAAGGTACACATTAGCTTTGGAGCTGGTTTTATAAGCAGGTATAAACAGAAGACAATTAAAGAATTACCAGTAACTTCGGGGAAAGTTAGGTTCCTTAGTGGAAGGACAGAGTAGAGGGAAGGGAGTAAAAGTTGCTTAAGATCCTAAACAGGTAAGAAGACTCACACTAGAGAGAGTTTTCATTTACCAATGAAAGTTTTTATTCCAACAGGAATAAGCAGGTAAGCTGGTGTCACTCACTATTGCCAATCATACCAAATTCTACATCAGTTTCCTGACCTTTATGAAGAATTACAGATATCAGACATCTTGTTTAGCTTGACTTTATCTAAAATGAAAGGGGGCTCAGATTGACAATTCTATTAAGTGTATGCAATGCTCTTAACTAGCCACAAGAACGTGAAAGGATTTCCTGTGATTAGGGACCTACTTAAATCATGGTAAGACAAAGGGTTTTTCATGACCTGCTCCTGGCATGCAGAGCCCATTTCACAGGCATTTTATGGTGGCTTCACCCCTCACTGCTGATTAGCAGAGAGACCCTGCCTCATGATTTAGATTGGTGAAGAGGCCCTGGTGGAGGAATGACAAGGGGTTAGCTGCCATCTTGATTACTGGTTGTCCTTCGTGCCGCCCCACCCATCAGTGATGACTGGCAGAGAGGCCCTAGAAAGGGAAGGATGGATGAGGGGACAGCAACTATCTTGTCTGCTGCCCTTTGTGTCACCCCACCAGCCACAGCCTTACCCTCCCAGCAGCAAGGACCAGTGGCTCCCACTGGGGAGCCAGCATTTTATTTTTATCAAATGTTTTTGTTGATTTCATGGACAATCCCAGATTTAGTCTAGGACTATTTATACCATGGTTCCTATCTATGATACAAGAACAGAAGAAAGGACTTGCTCTTTGATAATATTGAAAAAGCAAAGATGGTTCTTGACTTGCTTGTCAAAAGTAAATCATCTCTTGTGACTGAGTACAATTTTTAAGGGGCTGATGGTACACGTTTTATGTTTTATTTCCCTACCTGCCCTTTAATGGAATTATGAAGTGTTCTTGCAAACAGTATTTGCAATTACCCAAGCAAAAAAATTATCAAGGTGTTTCATAGTAGTTGTAGTAGTAGTAGCTAGGGTCAGGAGGGACCTGGACAGATCATCTAGCCTGACCCCTGCCACAGGCAGGAATGAATGCTGGGCTCACAAGACCCCAGACAGGTGATCGTCCAACTTCCTCTTGAATTTGCCCAAGGTAGGGGCAAGGACCACCTCCCTGGGAAGTTGGTTCCAGATTTTGGCCACCCTAACTGTAAAATATTGCCTTCTGATCTCCAACCTAAACCTATTCTCCATCAGTGGCTTATGACCATTGTTCCTCGTCACCCCAGGTGGTGCTGGGGAGAAAAGAGCTCTGCCTGTTTGCTGTTGATCCCCCCTGATGAGCTTGTAGGCAGCCACCAGGTCCCCCCTCAGCCTCCTCTTGCTGAGGCTGAACAGGTTCAGGTCCTTCAGTCTCTCCTCGTAGGGCCTGTCCTGCTGCCCTCTCACCAAGCGGGTGGCCCTCCTCTGAACCCTCTCCAGGCTGGCCACATCCCTTTTGAAGTGTGGCGCCCAGTACTGGACGCAGTACTCCAACTGCGGCCTGACCAAAGTCGCATAGATGGGGAGTATCACCTCTCTGGACCAGCTTGAGATGCACCTTTGGATGCATGACAAGGTATGGCTGGCCTTGCTAGCTGTGGTCTGGCATTGGCGGGTTATGTTCATCTTGGAGTCAATAATGACTCCGAGATCCCTTTCCGCCTCTGTGCTTTCAAGAAGGGAACTCCCCAGCCTGTATGTATGCTGTGGATTCCTTCTCCCAAGGTGCAGCACCCTGCATTTGTCTACGTTGAACCCCATCCTATTCTCGTCTGCCCACTTTTGTAGTGTGTCTAAATCTAGTTGCAGCCTCTCTCCCCCTTCAAGTGTGTCCACCTCGCCCCACATCTTAGTGTCATCAGCAAACTTGAACAGTGTGCTTTCCACCCCCTCATCCAAGTCGCTGATGAAGATGTTAAACAGTGCAGGCCCGAGGACCAAGCCCTGGGGTACCCCACTGCTCACATCTTGCCACGTGTGTTTTGTGTGTGTTATTGCACATAAATGCATATAGGCATACATTTATCTGTAATTTGAATGGAAATGTATTTCTGTCACCGGGAAGGAAAAATAATGCACAAATGTCTACTACTTTTGGCATAATTTCTGCAGTGGAGTATTCCAACTATTTTTGTGCCTCCTTTGTGCCATTTTTGCTATTTTTGCAAAATAATTTGTATATGATGGTGCTACAGCCCCAGTGTGGAGGACAACAACTAAAAGTATCTGGTTTCTTATATTCCTATGGGGAATGAAGTTTATTAAACTAAATTTTAAATCAGTAATTGTAGGTGCAGACAGAAGTGCAGCTGTAACTCAGAATGATTTCTGCAAAGCGTTCTGAGTTACAACATTACCCCAGATCAAACAAAAGTTCACTGCTGGTTCCAGAGGGGAGGGGAATCTGCAGGCTGGGAGCCTGCATCCAGGTTCCCATAGCAACAGCCACAGATCTCTGACGGTGCTCCCTGTTTTCAGATTGGGAGAGGGGAAAGGCAGTGGAGGGAGTTTGTTCTTGAGGCTCCCCAGCTGGTGCTGAAGGGAAGGGTGGGTGCATTGGAGCCCCCTCGTCTCAGGGGAGCTCCAGTACATCTGCCCCATCCTCCATGGGACTGGGGAGGGGGCAGAAAAACCTCCAGACTGAACTCCTTCTGCTCCCTTTCCCCCCCTTCCATTCTGAAAATAGTGATAGGCTGGGAGCTCCCAAACAAAAGTTACAAAAGATGCTACATTTTGAAACGTCTGTATCTGATATCTCATGGAATCAGTTCATTGGCCTTTTTTTAAGCTGTCTGCAGCCCTGCACTTGCGTTTGGTCACAGCTATAGACTGCCTTCTGTGGCCAAATCAGGCAAAAAGTGTCACTTCTGTCTGCACCCTAAAAGGCTTGCTTGGGGCCTGATTTGGGTCCTAATTTCACCAAGTCTGATATCACTGGTTTGTCATACACATTCAGCTTTGGTTATTTGTTTTGCCTTACAGTGCTTGTGCTTCACTGATAGCATAACAGTTGCCCCTATGCCACCAGCCCAGGACCACAAACGGTTAATGGATGGAGATGAGGGTCCAAACACTGGAGGGATGGGAGCTTATTCCCCAGCACCACAGGTAAAATTTGATAATAGGTGGCTGCGTGGATAGATCTAATAACTGAAAACTTACGTATATTATTTGTTGCTTCATGGCAAACAGGAATGAAGAGAAAAGACTTGTTACAGATGGGGAGGGGGGTCAGATGCAAGGAGTTGTGCTTCACTGAGCTTCACTTATTAACTTGTCTTTCTGAAGAGTAGGGCATTCTTACGTAACTACACTTTCATTGTGAAGGTAGAAGACTACATTTTATTTTGCATTTAAATTCAGTGTTATAAAGTCCTGGTTACCAGTACCAAGTGGTTGAAGAAACAGTCTTACCTCTTGCCTGAGTGAGTTAGAATGATTAACCTGTGCCATATCTTATGATTTTTGTCTCTGTTTGTTTGTTTGTTTGGCAAGTAGCTGTTATTTGCAGAAGGGGTTAGTTTATTTTCTGTTGATTCATGTTGTCTTCTATCGCTTTTTTTATTTTATAAAGGGATAATGAGCCACTATGTAGCTACTTTGAGTTTATTTGGTACAGCTTGGTCAGTAATGGCTACTATGATGCTTTTTAGCTTGATTTGTCTTTATGCTTCAAGGTTCCTTGGGTGAATTTGATATCTTTTATTAGACCAACTTCTTTTTCATGTTGTACAGTTTCCATTTCAGACGGCTGAATTCGATATCTTCCATGTTGCAGGGGTTTGGGTTGTAGCCGTGTTGGTCTAAGGACATAGGCAGACAAGGTTCCTTGGGTGAATTTGATATCTTTTATTAGACCAACAGTCTTTATGCTTCATGCACTTACGCATATGCTTAACTTCATGAAAACAAGCAGTTCCAATGAAGTCAATGGGATTACTTGCATGTGTCGACTTAAGCAGGTGTAATTGTAGGATTGCAACACTCAGTCAATACTGCAATATGCTCTTTGCAAAGAGATAAAAAGATAGCAAGTTTCTTTTGTTAAAACATGTATTGAACTGGGAAAGATACCTGCAGTTTCGTCTCATCTCTTCAAAGTCACACAGAAAAGTACACGTTGCTAGGTAAAATAATACATTAATTCTTAAAAGTACTAATTTCTAATCATATTTTATTAGATTTCCAAAGACTTACTACTGAAAATAAGAGATACTATTCTTCAGAGAACAGTGGATGGGATGAAAAAAGAAGGAGTTCCATATATTGGTAAGTGAAAACTTTCTTTTATGTGATTCTTGTTAGTTGTTTAGTATCTTGAACAACTCTTACCCCCTCCTCTGTACTCTGCCCTTCCACTAAAGAATTAAATTTTCCCTGAAGTTATTGGTAATATTTTGATTACCTTCTTTGGAACTAGGTTTGATTCTAGCCCTTTGAAATCAGGGAGTATCTCTCCATTTCTGGTTACAAAGCACCCCAAGTAAGCAGGAAGATAATAACAGAATAGCATTTTAAAAATAGTCTGCAAAATTGTGTAAAGTTATATGCAACTAATATTAAGCGTAAATTATGTAGAGATGCAGATCATAACATTTCTGATTAGCTAAACATAGGTCAGGTAGTTGAATGCCTTTGTTTTCTTATTTGTACTCAAGTGATTGCATTATCAGATACAGATAATTGGAGATAACATTTTAGCAGATTTTTTTAAATTTGGGAAAAAATATTTGAAATCAAGGTATACTAGAGCAGCACTCTCAATAAATGTTACATTATAAACAGCTTTAAAACAAATGACCTTTACAGTCACCTAAATTACTTTTAATTATTCCCTTCTCTTCCCTTCTATTCTGTTCTTTATTTTAGGTGTGCTTTATGCTGGATTGATGCTTACTAGGGATGGGCCTAAGGTTTTAGAGTTTAACTGCAGGTTTGGTGACCCAGAATGCCAGGTGAGTCACTGCAATTAAATATAGTTTAGTGTAATGGGGAGCAAAGCCATACTTTCATCTGGGTTTCTTCATTTATTTCATTCTTAAGTAAAGGGATTTTAACTGAACACCTAATACTTAATTATTAGCTTGGCATTTTGTGGGGTGGAGGGTGTGGAATGGTTTATTTCCGCAACATAGTTTATTTGTTTTGAACTTAGAGGCTAATGATCTTCTGTATTAAGGATATATTCCTTGCCAACAAATTTTCAGCACTGTACAGAGGTTCTGTAAAATTGATAATGTTCCAGATCTGAGCAATTTCCAGTCTAGAGAAAACGAGTGCTTTAAATTTCACAAGATGGTGTATCATGGCTGTCTAGATGGCAGTCCATGGGTTGCATGCAACGTGTGAGTAGTTAAAGTGTTAAGCTATGGCCCATGAATCCCTGTCACCTTTATCTCTTGGTTCCCCACAGGTCCAAGCACTGCTTCCCCCCATACCCTCTCTTCC